ACAACTACTACAACTACAACAACTACTACAACTACTACAACTACAATTACAACTACAACAACAACAACTACTACTACTCCTACTACTACGATGACGACCACTTCTAGTACTCATACTCATCACTTCTTCCTCACGTTAGAACGGCGCAAATCAAAGCGCCCGCAATCAAACAACACACAAAACAAGACATACACCTGAGAACCCTTGCCCGAGTCTCAAACACACCGTCCAGCCTGCGCCATCGCCCCTCGATCCCGTCGAAGAGCTTGACAACATACCTGCCTGCTGCATTGATGTTGTAAGAGTCTAACCCGAAAGAAAAAGCAAAGCTTCCAGGGGGTTGAAGTATGTCAGGCAGTCGAGCTTGGGGCCTGAAGGTTCGTGGCGCCTTTGACAAGTCTGGTTATTTGCCTTCTGACAGCTGCCTGTTTTATTCGCTGAGGGTTTCAGGTTTAGGGGTTTAAGGCACCGAACTCCATCCTGCATGGCCTCTCGGGTTGAACTCCGTACTGTCAAAGAGCTGCTGCAACGCACCCCTGCCAGGGTCCCTAGTTTAGGGCCTGATGAGAACAGTTAAGGATTAGGATCAGGATGTTTGGGTATCGGGTTTTTGGGCAGAGATGTAGAGGTTGGGAGTCTCCTTCAATCTTAAGTGAAGGCCTGGACACTCACAATCAGCCCACAGTCTAATACCATTGGAGCCAATGATCTGTATCTTTAGAACGAAGCTACTACACCCTAGGCCCCCAAATTTCACATTTCCGAATCCTAAAACCGGGATGATTAAGGTTGTAGACAGCTTAGCCCGGAAGCCAGCCCTCACCTAAGCATTAGGACACTAGGGTACTTGCGGGCTTCGTCGCCTGCAGCTTAGGAGCTCCTGCTTGCAGCTTGGGAACTCCTAGCAAAATCTTGAGTTTGGAGGGTAATCCACAGCACTTGCTCTACCCCAGAACTGATTTTCATCTGCACCGGCTTGCATTGGTAGCAAAAACAAGCAGTCTACAGCAGCAAATGAAGACTCTAAAGCCAACCTTTGACAGTCCCTGCGTTCAAGACCTGTAGATAGGAACATATTGTACTAGCAGAGATGTTGCCACAAACATCTACAGTGCCTAGCCGACACATCCTTAGTAACAGCCTTCAGCCCTCAAACCCAAAGCAGAGCCTGTGTTCGCCAAGGATCGCGATGGCGGCCAGCAGCCACACGTCGCCTTGGGCACCTCCGAAATTCAAGCAGTGTGGAAGTTGATGGCCAAATCCGGTACCTACACTCCAGGGTGCACGCCGTAAATAAGTGGTTTCCTCACAGCCATGCAACTCAAACATATTTAAACCCCTTTGCGCTTTGGACATTCGTACAATTCCATTATAATTCCCTAATCCTGTAAGGCGCCAGAAACGAACCTTTTTCGCTCTGGCTTTACACAAGCCTCCTGTGCAAGGCGGATGCCCTCGCATTCTGCCCCAAGGTCCCTAGGGCCGAAGCGCAGTGTTGCGAAGGTCTGCATGCTTGCAGCCGCGATGGCCACAATTGAATCCAGAGGTCAGACAGTGAGGATTAGGCCAACGTAGTCGGCGGTTGGATCTCCATTTGGCGACAGTCAATCAATTCTAGTCACTCTAGTCTCACTTACGCTTTGACGGATGTTGTTATGAGGGTGCTGCGAAATCGCCCAGAAAAGATCCACCCAGATGTGTTGAAATGTATGATGCGTATGTATTGGAACGCGCAACTGGTACACGGACTCAGGAATGTGGAAAGCTGCCACGCATGGGGTGGCAAAAGTCTGTACACAGAGATTAAGCCGAGATTCATTTTAAAACAGCTCATGGCTACAAACCGCCAGACTCTGCAAGTCGCCTCTCACTCTCTTGTCGGCACTGGCAATCAACGGCTCCGGCTCAAGGCATGAGCTTCCAGCGAGATCTTGACGGCTGGAAACTTCTGGCCGGCATTGCTTAGACTGTTGAAGAGAGGACTGCACTTCACACGCAGCCGCTCGAGTGCCTGCCTGGCCCTCGAGTTCCATCTCCTCCCAGCGCGAGGAGAGCTCCTGGAAGGTGCTGTTGAGGAGCCAAGTCTTGGAGAAGCTCTGATCCCAAGGGAGGGAGCTGACAGACATGAGGGCTGAGGTGAGGACTTGCACCTTGAAGTCACCATGGCTTCGTCTGCTGAACACATCTGCCACAGCATCCAGGAGGGCCCGGAGCTCTGGGGCTGCATCGGAAGCAGTATCTTGGTCGAACTTGTAGAACTCCGCAAAGGCCCAAAGCAAATTCGTCACCTCATAAGGCTGACAGCTATGAAGCTGAGGGGTCGCGACGGCCGCCAGCTTGGCAAAAAGCGACGGCCGGAAGACCCGAAGCTGCGCACAGGACCAGGCGATGATGGTGCAGCAATTAGCAGGCACTGAGGCATCCCGGTTGGCCAGCTCCCACTCAGCGAAGTGCTCTGCCATTTCCAGAAGGCTGCTGAAGACACCTGGGCTGGACACTCGCAGAAGTTCTTCTCCTGCGCGCGAGATGCGGTGGAATGACGTAGCCAAGTTCACTCCGTTCATCTGGCCAAGGCTCCTCGCTACCACCTTCAGGACCTGGAGACTGCTCCTCTTGCCGGCCGCCACAAGCTCCCTGTTGATTCGCTTCTGCTGTGCCGAAGTCTTCGAAGCTCGGGCTGCCTCATTTGCTGGCGGCACAGCCGGTGCTGCGTGGGAGTCGGCAGAGGACATCGGACCCTGGCCGGCTGGTCCCGAATGATCAAAGTGATCGGCCGGTGCGGACGGTTGCTGGACGGCTTGCTGGAGCATTGGCATGGGGATCTCAACGACCTGGATTCTTTGCGGGATCACCGGGACCACGGTTGGGGCAAGAACCATCGGCACAGCGACCCCGATTACACCGAGGTTGCACGGGGAGTTGGTCCGTGAGCCGTTGAGCGGCGAGTTGGTCCTGCTGCACAGGCTAAGGGACTCGCTGAGGCACTCGACATCAGACTCACATGGGCTGGAGTTGCTGCCATCTTGGTTTGCAGTGCTGACTGAGCTGTACCTGTCGTCTTGCTCAAAGGATGACTTCATCGGGCAGGGAGCGCGACAGGGAACGGTCATCTCCACGTCCGTGATGATGGCTGGGCATGAAAGCGATCGGGTCATGAGCCCATCTGCCAGGTCTTCACCGGCACCACCCACACAACAGTGCACAAAGGTGTTTTTCGTGCAGACCCGGAGCTGCGAAGTGAAAGCTGCCATGGCCGCCATCGTTAAAATTGGGACGTTTCTAGACAACTAAATGCGTACCTTGAAATCTTGCCTCCAGGGCGCTAGTCGGACGACCTGAGATGCATGCCGGCGGATATGCGGATATGCAACAAGGCAAACACCTCAGCGGTCACTTTTGCCACTGTCTCTTGTCATAAACTGCCTCAGCCTCGCCTCAACCTAAAATGCGCGCCGCCTTGCCTGCCTGGTCCAATGGTCACTCCCAAATCACCAGTCTTGCAAATCGACATCCTGACACGTGCAAGGCTTGAAGTTCCTGAGTATGGATCAGCACTTCTGGAAGCTTCCGCGAAGACCAAACCTAGACTGTAAACGCTTTAGCTCCTAAATCCAAAACCTCCAAACCCGCCAGCCCTGAACGTCTTCGCCTTCGCAAAGCTGGCACGGGTCGAGATCTGACGCCACGAGCTGAATAGCCCTGCAGCAGCATCACGAGATGCAGGGTTTTCACCAATGGTTTTCCACTCATCGGGGCCCTCTAATTTCCTGAAACGGCCAAACAAGTTACTGTTGACATTGCGCCACCTGTCATTTCGACGGGTGAGTTTGGGATTTGGGTCTCCACTAGAATGGAGTGGGCTGCTTCTGCGAACATCTTTCTCATCGGGTCCTCTACAAGTGAGTCGACCTGCTTCGTCGGATTTTCTGAGGAGACAAACTTCAGGCTGGCGCCAAGTAATACACTGTGACGACTCAGGTGTGCCAAGTACGAGGTGTCATGACATGGTATTGGTCGTTCCGATCCCGGCGAATCACATCGAAAGCTATGTCAGCTATGTTGACAATGTTGTGTCTAGTGAGTCTAGTTGCATACGCAACTTTCTTGCGAATTATGTCAACAGTGGCGGTGTGCTGGATCTGGGTGGGAAGTGCTTAAGGCAACATTAACAACTTACAGATTTTTACTTCACTTTCAAGTTTGGCTCAAGGACGGGGTGCTCGCGCGTCTCGTAGCTGAGGTGGGTATCGGGCTATTGAGCTCGGCGTGATGTTTGGAGTCCATGTGCTGAAGTCCATTGATACGGTACCGGATTTGCTGGTCGGGGTTTGGGACTATGAAGGACATTTCGCCCGGACTATTTGGATTCTCGCGGTCCTAGCTGTATGAGGAAATGTACGGCAACCTGTGTATTTATGCGTGCGTGCATTCGTGCGTGCGTGCGTGCGTGCGT